AAAAAAAAAAAAAAAAAAAAAAGAAAGAAAGAAAAAGAAAGAGAAAAAGAAAAGAAAGGTATTTGAACTTGGCTGTTGCAAAAACGTTCTTTTACAAAGTGCCTTTGAAGATGAGATCTGAAGAATGATTAAAAACTATTCAAGGAAGTAAGGGAGGACAGTACAAGTGTGCAAAGCTTAAAGTGAAGAGGGGAAATATAATAGTTTTGAGGAATAGAAATAAGTTCAGTATAATTAGAGTGTATATGCAGAGAACTGTATGTGGTTCTTATAAGTATTTAGAAGGTGGAATTCCACAGGATGTGGTGACTGATTGGATGTAGGTGTGAGGGCAGTGAGGAAGACACTTTAATGATGACATACAGGTCACCAACTTGGACAGTGATTCAGTTCTTTCAGTACCCACAGGAATGGAGGAAGAATTTGGGGGAAGACAGTAAATGAGTTCTGTATAGGACAATATATTAGTAGATTACAAACAAAATTGCTATAGTGGAGACTCCACAAAACAGAGCTTACATAAGCTGGAAGTCCACGAGTGAGAAATCTAGGGATGGTGGAATGAGAGGAAAGCTTTGTTATTGTCAACACTTGACTTTCATTTCTAAGGTGACCCTGCAGGTTGCTATTTTCTAGTCAGTAGAAGGGGGAGAAAGGAAGTAGAGGCAATTAGCTTCCTTTCTAAGGACGTGACCCAGAATCTGAACATATTATTTCTGCTTATATCCATTGGTCAAAATTGACTGAGAAATGTAATCTATAGCTGGGCAACTATGTCTGCTGTGAAAACCATGTGCTCTCCATCCATGAAGGATTAACTGAGTTCAGACTTACTATCCTGTCATTAACCAACTAGAAAAATTGGATGAGATATAGAGAACAATGTTATCAGACATTGGACAACAGGCAGTGCAGACTTGTGATCCTTGATAGATGGAAAATAGATGAGGTGAGTTCTGTTTACCCTGGCTTTCTGTCTGGAGAAATTTTCAGATGGTATGAATATAAAAAAGTGACACAAATCCTGGTGAACTCACTGAACTGAGGAGATAGGAGTTGGGGAGCCTGAGTTGGGTGGAATTGACAATACATGGTACCAAAGAGTAGGGAGCTATGCAGAAATAGTGTTCCAGAAATATACTTAGGGATCTTGCTGAGTGGAGGATGAAAATTCGTGAGACTAGCTTAGGAACAGTGTATGGAAAAGAGCAATTGCCAGGGAACTGTATGGAAAACTGTTCTCAGAGTTTGTCCCATCAGCCAGAGTGGAGAGACTTCACTGACTATATAAGGCTTTCAGGGAAGCCCTGAAGTGTGTAGCTAAACCAGCTCTTAATAAAGCCTACTCTAAATTCATTCCTATAAAAGCTTAAAAATGAGACTAATGTCTACTTTGAGAGAGATGCAATTAGCAGACAAGTAGATTAAAACAGCTATAATAAATATTCAGTATATTCACGTTTTAAATGAAAACATAAACAAAATGAGGAGAGAAATAGAGGAAATCAGTCCATCTATCAATCAATCAATAGTCACCACAAAGGAAAATCTATACATAAGCAGAGGATTCAAGAGCATATATAGATTTTCTTCTGTAGTGTCTATTGATTGATAGATACATGGTAGATAGATTGATTTCCTCTACTCCTCATTTTGTTTGTGTGTTCATTTAATCCTTGAGCACATTGACCAGCATCTCTGTCATTTCTTGTTTCTGAGTTTGTTTCTATTGCTGGTTATCTCCAGGTAAATGTTCCATTGCAAAATTCATAATTTTTTATTGAATGCCAGACATTGTTCATTTTACATTGTTGATTGTCAGATTTTGTTGTTTTCCTTTGAGGAGCATTGGGCTTTGTTCTAATAGGCAAATGTTTGTGGATTACATTGATTTTCTTAAGGCTTGTTTTCCTTTCACCTTCCTCTCTTCCTTCTGGGACTCCAAATACACACATATTAGACCATTTGATCACCACCTGTCACTTAAATTCTGCTTTTTCCCTCGGTCTTTTTCTCTTTTTATGCTTCGTTTTATTTAATTTCTACTGCAATGAGGAAGGAAGAAAGGAAAGAAATAATGACTAGAACATTCCCATATCTTGATAAAAATTATAAATACACAGATAAGTGAAGTTCAATAAACCCCAAGTCAAAAACAGAAATAAAAAATTACAAAGAAAATGACAGTAGAACCATCATAATTGTCTTGCTAAAAAACAATGATAAAAACATTAAAAATAATGGGAAAAAGGAACCATATATATAGAAAAACTAAGATAATCATCAAACTTCTAATTAGTAACAGTTTAAGCTAGCAGAAAATGGAGCAACATCTTTAAAGTGCTAAAAGAAAAGAAACCAAATTATAATTTTATGCATAGTACAATATCTTTCCAAAGACAAGATCTTTTCAATATCTTTCTGGACATCTTTCTAGAAAATGAAGATTAAACACAGATTTTCTGATCAAATGAAAGCTGATAAAATTCACTGGCATAGAAGTATTTAAAAAATTTCTCAAGCAGAAGGAAAATGAAGTCAGTTGAAAACATGGATTGAATTAAAGGAATAAAGAACGCTATAAATGATAGAATACAAACAAACATAAAAAACATCATATCTTATTTAAAAACTTTTCTTTAGGTATGGACACAGTTGCTCATGCCTGTAATCTCAGCACTTTGGGAGTCCAGGGCAGGCTGATTGCTTGAACTCAGGAGTTTGAGACCAGCCTGGGCACCATGGTGAAGTCCCATCTCTACAAAAAAATGCAAGAGTAGCTGGGCTTGGTGGTGCGTGCCTGTCGTCCCAGCTGCTTGGGAGGCTGAGGCGGGAGGATTGCTTGAGTCTGGGAGGTTGAGGCTGCAGTGAACTGTGTTCATGCCACTACACTCCAGCCTGGCTGACAAAGTGAGTTAACTGTCTCAAAAAACAAAAAAATATTTAAAAGATAATTGATAGTTTCAAACAAAACAATGTATTGTGATATTCATAACACAGGTAAAAATAAAACTTATGCCACCAATAGTGATGGACAGGTGAAGAGGAATAGAACCACACTTTTGTAAGGTTCTTTATTATACTTGAAGTAGTATAATATTACTTGATAGTTGACTATAATAAGATAAAGATGCATATGGTAACCTAGAAAAATCACTAAAAATAAAACAAGGCTCTAAAGCTAATAAGCCAATAATGGAAGTAAAATTTCATACTCAGAAATCACAGTTCAAGCAAAAATACAAGAAAAATGGCATTAAAAAAAGTACAAATGAAACAAGAACACAAACAGCAACATGGTAGCTTTAAATTTAGCTATATCAATAGTTACATTAGTGACCTAAAAACTCCTAGATAGCCTATACAATGAGTCACAAAACAATTTTTGATACATTTAAAAGTTTGAAATCATCCAGTATATATTCTGACTGTAATAGAATTGACCTAGAAGTTTTTATAGAAAGATATTTGGAAAATTTCCAAATATTTGGGAGATATTTAATGTAATTTTGAATACCTGATTGATTAAGAAGAAATCACAGGAAAATTAGAAGACATTTTTAATAGAATAAAAATTTAAAGTATAGCTTATCAAAATGTGTGGGGTATAAAGTAGTAATTAGAAAGAAATTTACAGCATTTAATTCTTTTATTGCAGAAGACAGTTTTTAAATTAATAATTTGTGCTTCCACTCTAAGAAGCTAGAAAATCAGAGAAATTAAATCAAAAGCAAGTAGAAAAAAAATAATAAACATACAGGGAAAATAAATGAAACTAAAACAGGAAAAGAATAGAGAAAATCAATGAAACCAAAACCTTGTTCTCTGAAAAATATCAATAAAATTGATTAACATTTAGGTAGACTGATAGGAAAAGAGAGAAGACTATTTACTAAGAAGGAATACAAGGGGGTCATCACTATATCTTACAAATATTAAAATGATAAAGGAATATTATGAATAGGTCAATGAATTTGGCAACCCTGATGAACTAGATAAATTTTCAAAAAGTACAAATTACCAAAATCAGCTCAAGAAGAAATTGAAAACTTAAATATCAAGGTACAAAGTAAATTCCACTAATAGGCATTTATTAAAAGAAATATAATATTTTATACAAAGAATTTTTTTATAGCAACTCCATTTATAATAGCCTGGAAACAACCCAAATGATGAGCAGAGAAATCAGCTGAAATGGAAATGGGCAATTCTTCAGCAATAAAAAACTATACTGATACACACAAAATATGTATGAATCTCAAAAACATGGTGCTGAGTGAAAGCCGACACATTGTGAAAGAGTACAATTGACTCTTGAACAACATGAGTTTGAACTTCATGAGTCCGCTTATATTTACTGGATGCAAAATCCACCTTTATGGGGGGCCGCCTTTTCATACAGGCAGGTGTCACAAGACTGACTGTGGGACTTGATTATGCCCAGATTTTGACATGTACAGGGATCTTAGAACAAACCGCCTGCATACACTGAGAGGCTACTGCTTAAAATTTCATTTATATGTAAGTTTAGAAGTACCTAATCTATACAGAGAGAAAGATCAGTAGCTGTGGAGACCAGGAGTTGGTGAAATACTCAGTATCTTGATCATGGTGGTAATAACACAGATGTGTATATTTGTTAATAGTTACCAAACTATACATTTTAAATGGGTGCATTATGTTGTATATAAACTATTTCTTTATATGTTGACTTTTGAAAAATGATAAAAGAAAATTTGGTAGGGATGTGTGTCCAGGGTGAGGATGGGGAATGGAGGAGCATGAAAAGTTCTTTCCTAAAAAGAATAAGGAAAGAATCGATGCTGAGGTCTTTGCTACAGGCATGCTGAATTTTAGCTTTCTGAAGAACATCCAAATTGAGACAGACATAAGAAGGTGGCTGGCTAAGTTTTGAAATCAAAAGAAAGATCTGTTTTGGAGAGACAGACTTCAAGTCATCTATATATAGATAGTACTTGAAATTTAGGACTGGATGAGATTTCCTAAGGGACAAATGTAGATGTGGAAGAGAATAGAGCCCAGGACATAATCCTGAGGGTGAATAACATAAAAGGAGTTACCACAGGAAGAGGATCCTACAGAAAGGTAGGATTAAAAATTTCAAGTTGGGATGCTGAGGGGCACTCTTTGTTTCAACAAAGAAGAGGTCTGCATTGCCAAGTACTTCCGACCTGATCTACAATGTGTCCACTGCATTTAGCTATTTAGGTCAATAAATAGATGATGGGAGCCTTAGGGTTAACGGTGACTGTTTTTGTTTGTTCATTTGCTTTTGGTATGGGAGGCATAGGAGCATGTTTAAATGCTGATAAGAATGAAGCAATAGGGAAGCATAGTGAAGAGAGTAACTCAGTAATAAATTCCTTGGGAGGCAGGAAGGGGTGGGATCTGGAGCCAATGTGGAGAGATTATCCTTAGATAAGAAGAGGAACATTCATCCTATTTTATCAGGATTGAAGGTGGAAGGAATAGGTGGGGATGCATTTGGGTTAGTGCATTTTATGGCAGAAAGTTGAGAGGATGGATAAGGTCTACTGAGGCCTCTTCTAAATCTGAGATGCTGTGATCTGTGCTTCTGCAGGGCACCACACAGGTTGGAGAATGGGCAGAGAGAACAGCTTAAATTCTTCCCAACTAATAGTCTTTCTATTGGTCTGATTCTGTAACAGGGATGATCAACATTTTACATGGAATGGGTTTAAGGCTCCTTGCTTTGGGACATCACACACCTTTTATGGTGAGAGATGTTTATTTTGCTTATTTTTTTGAAAACACATCTCACACCTTAAGAATAAAAAAATGCTGAGCTGGTGGACTAACTTGAGTTGTGTATGTTTATTTTCAGCACATTGGCATGGCTCATAACTACAGGAATAGCAGTCAGGCTGTGCAAGCTGTTCGTGATGCTGGCTATGAAATATCTTTGGGTTTGATGCCTAAGTCAATAGGGCCCTTAACATTTGTGTTCACAGGAACTGGTAATGTTTCTAAGGTAAGTTTTACCTGACTTACTTTTGTAAAACAATCAAAAACTGTGAAACTAACCCAAATGATGTGGGCAGGCATTTTGTGGGTATTTCAAATGGACTGAATGAAGATTCTGTTTTTGGCACTTTTCTTACCAATGTATTTTTCTCATAGTGAAAAGTAGTAATGATCCAAATATGTGTGTGTGTATGTATGTGTGTGTATATATATGTGTGTGCGTGTGTGTGTATGTGTAAGTGTATATGTGTGTATATCTATACACACATACATGCACACATACAGTTTTTTTTGTTGTTGTTGTTGAGACGGAGTCTGGCTCTGTCCCCCAGGCTGGAGTGCAGTGGCCGGATCTCAGCTCACTGCAAGCTCTGCCTCCCGGGTTCACGCCATTCTCCTGCCTCAGCCTCCCGAGTAGCTGGGACTACAGGCGCCCGCCACCACGCCCGGCTAGTTTTTTGTATTTTTTTAGTAGAGACGGGGTTTCACCGTGTTAGCCAGGATGGTCTCGATCTCCCGACCTCGTGATCCGCCCGTCTCGGCCTCCCAAAGTGCTGGGATTACAGGCTTGAGCCACCGCGCCCGGCCGCACACATACAGTTTTTAGTTTATTGCTAGCTATCTGAGTCTTGGAATACTTTTTCTTCCTTTCTTTTTCCTTTTATAAAAGAGATAATTTGGCCAGGCACGGTGACTCACGCCTATAATCCCCGTACTTTGGGAGGCTGAGGCAGGCGGATCACCTGAGGTCAGGAGTTTGAGGCCAACCTGGCCAATATGGTAAAACACCATCTACACCAAAAATACAAAAATTAGCCAGGCCTGGTGGTGCACACCCATAATCCCAGCTACTAAAGAGGCTGAGGCAGGAGAATCGCTTGAACCCGGGAGGCAAACATTGCAGTGAGCCGAGATCGCACCACTGCACTCCAGCCTGGGTGACAGAGCGAGACTCCATCTCAAAATAAAATAAAATAAATAAGATAATTCATTGTTAATAGTGTAAAGGTCTGTTCTGAGGGTGATCTGTTTTACCTCTGTCACCAAAATGTCCATGAGATTGAAAGTGACCTCACGATGTCCATTTTTTAAGACTACTTGGAGTTTTGCAAAAAAGATGTTAGGAAAATTCATTTAAGACTGGAATTCATAATTTCTTCCTTCTCTGGTGGTTTTAAGAATGTGTTTGTAATCTCCTATAGAAACTTGTAATTGTAAAATAATTCCTTCTTCAAAGAAAATATTTTACAAATAGGATATCATTCATATTATATTGTGAGGTAAGCATCCGATTATTTCTTTTGTAGGGAATATAGTTTCCCCATTTGGAATAATTTCTGCAATGGATCTAAAATAAATGGAAATATTTTTGCCCTCATTTCTAAACACTCTTATTGATACTGAGTAGCTTAATAAAAAAGAAAAAAATTAAAGCGCCTTCTAAGTGTGCTGTTCAAACAGGAATAAAAACTAGCTAGTAGATTTGTTGTAAGCAGCTCATCTATATTTCTGTGTTGCAGTCCTGGTTGTAGGGAAGGCAAGTGGAGCTGTATAATTGTTGGGAAAATGATTAGATCTTTGCAGGAAACCATGTTGGTTCTTTTTCTATTGATGTTGGGATTTTTACTCGTGTGTTATTTGTAGGGAGCCCAAGCAATCTTTAATGAGCTACCTTGTGAATATGTGGAGCCCCATGAATTAAAAGAAGTTTCCCAAACTGGAGGTAAGGGACGGGGGATGACTAACTTTTAATGTTTTTAATAGTCTGTGTTATATTTTATCACCATACATTTTCATTATTTGTCACCCACTTTACTAATTTCTTTCTCCTTTGCAAGACCTCAGAAAAGTGTATGGGACGGTGTTAAGTCGTCATCATCATCTTGTCAGGAAAACAGATGGTGTGTATGATCCTGCAGAGTATGACAAACATCCTGAGCGCTACATAAGTCGTTTTAATACTGATGTGAGTATCATGTTCAGCTTTTAAGTTGGTTGCTTATGATACAGTGTAGGTAGGCAATTTTCAAGGAGAGAAATTATAAATTATACACTGGCTTTCGGTTTTCCTGTTGTGAGTCCTTTGGGTACCATGAGTTGGCCTTTGGAGCTATCATCTTTTAGGGGTATTTGGAGTAGTCTTGCTTCGTGCTTTTGGTGGTTTCTGTGGATATACTCTTTGTTTCACTGTCTCCATTTCTGCTTCAGGTCTGCATGTGACCAATAGCTCTAAGCCATTTCCTGTGGGTTACTGTTTTCTATGTTTATCCGGGACTAGTTAGCACTGTGGGCAGAGCACAATGCCTATGACGTTTGGTCTCAACATGGCCACAAATTACAACCATAATCTCAACCAGCAATCCTGAAATGCATGCCATTGTTTACGGGGAGTGAGGGTGAAATAGTGTGCCTACATAAGTGCAGACCACCCCCACTGTATGAAAAAGCTATTATACTTACAAATCAAATCCTTCAATGGGACACACTGGCTTTATCTTTTAAGAAATAAAATATATTTGTGTGTTCTATAGTCATTGGCCATGCGACAATCTTCCCCCAGATAAACTAACAAACCAAAAAATAGATAAAACAAAAAAGGCATGCATTTATTATGAAAAAGAATGCTTTAAATAATTTTAAATATGTTTGACCAACATAGCATTTTCAGATTCTGGTATGAAGTTTAGTCCTTATATCATGCAGGGCATGTTAGAGAGAACTCTTACCTTCTGCTTGAGATGTTTGAAGAAGAAAAATTATGAACGTAGTTTCCAACTGAAAAATTTTGAATCTAAGAAATCTTTATTCCTTTTCATTTCCCCAATCACCGAAGTATTGGTGATTGGACACATCCTAAAACTGATACTGACCTAGTTGCCATGTATGCATGTATGTAGCATATTGCTCCATAGAGCTTACAGATGTTATCCGATTTAATCTTCACAGCATTCCTTTGAGGAATGGGGTGTGTATTATCCCCATCTGGCAGGTAAGAAAAATAGAGCCCAGGGAAGTTGAGGTAGCATGATTTAGGTCATACCCTACTGCTAGTAGAGCTGGAAATATAATTTTAGGTCCACTGTTTTTTGTTTGTTTTGTTTTGTTTTTGTCCTTTCATTTTTCTTTGGCATGCAATACATTAAAGAATGAACATAATAATGATTTTTTTTTTTTTTTTT